TTTTATATATAAACCTCTGTTATGTTAATTTCGATTAATTTCCCTGAAGAAGTTCGGACCAGATTGCCGAACGAAACGTTGGAATTACTCATTTCAATATCGCTGAGATTATACAAATATAATTTTTTACAAATGTCTACTTCTCACTCGGCGCCCAAATTTTTTAGAACTATTCTGTCAAATCTTGACTACAGTTCATTTGATTTATTTTGCAATCGAATTAAATTAACAAAGAAACTATGTAATTGGCACAATCATCGTGTTTCCACTCTCCGTTGTCTGCAACAGAATGCGTACCCTAAATCCGTAGCTGTCCAGTCAACTGACAACTCCAGTAGGTCGAATAAATCAGCTCAATTTTCAGAAAGAAGACAAAGTCATGAGTTTGACAGGGTGCTTCAACTAAACTCTAATCCTAAACACCATAATTTTGAAAATACGTCTAATCATAAGATTCTAGATACTAACAGTTTGAACAGACATGAAGGTGTGATGTTAGCTGACGCATAGGAAATCCTGATTAATAAATAAGAATGGATATGTATCACTAACTAATAATACTTGATCAAAGTTCCTGACTGTCTATATCTACTTATGGAGACGTTAAGACATTGTTTTACAACTGTTTATCCGTTGTTTTTTTTTTTTTGTTTAAAGTTTTTAACAAAGGTAGATCAATATTTGTAAGTCTGAGGTCAAATTTTGATCACAACTCATACAATTTTGTTTATTGTACATGTTGATGCCTGTTTTATGACTCATGATTGGACAAAGTGTTTTTAAAAATAAGAGATGTTCCTTTTATATATAAACCTCTGTTATGTTAATTTCGATTAATTTCCCTGAAGAAGTTCGGACCAGATTGCCGAACGAAACGTTGGAATTACTCATTTCAATATCGCTGAGATTATACAAATATAATTTTTTACAAATGTCTACTTCTCACTCGGCGCCCAAATTTTTTAGAACTATTCTGTCAAATCTTGACTACAGTTCATTTGATTTATTTTGCAATCGAATTAAATTAACAAAGAAACTATGTAATTGGCACAATCATCGTGTTTCCACTCTCCGTTGTCTGCAACAGAATGCGTACCCTAAATCCGTAGCTGTCCAGTCAACTGACAACTCCAGTAGGTCGAATAAATCAGCTCAATTTTCAGAAAGAAGACAAAGTCATGAGTTTGACAGGGTGCTTCAACTAAACTCTAATCCTAAACACCATAATTTTGAAAATACGTCTAATCATAAGATTCTAGATACTAACAGTTTGAACAGACATGAAGGTGTGATGTTAGCTGACGCATAGGAAATCCTGATTAATAAATAAGAATGGATATGTATCACTAACTAATAATACTTGATCAAAGTTCCTGACTGTCTATATCTACTTATGGAGACGTTAAGACATTGTTTTACAACTTTTTTTTTTTTTTTTTTTTTTTTTTGTTTAAAGTTTTTAACAAAGGTAGATCAATATTTGTAAGTCTGAGGTCAAATTTTGATCACAACTCATACAATTTTGTTTATTGTACATGTTGATGCCTGTTTTATGACTCATGATTGGACAAAGTGTTTTTAAAAATAAGAGATGTTCCTTTTATATATAAACCTCTGTTATGTTAATTTCGATTAATTTCCCTGAAGAAGTTCGGACCAGATTGCCGAACGAAACGTTGGAATTACTCATTTCAATATCGCTGAGATTATACAAATATAATTTTTTACAAATGTCTACTTCTCACTCGGCGCCCAAATTTTTTAGAACTATTCTGTCAAATCTTGACTACAGTTCATTTGATTTATTTTGCAATCGAATTAAATTAACAAAGAAACTATGTAATTGGCACAATCATCGTGTTTCCACTCTCCGTTGTCTGCAACAGAATGCGTACCCTAAATCCGTAGCTGTCCAGTCAACTGACAACTCCAGTAGGTCGAATAAATCAGCTCAATTTTCAGAAAGAAGACAAAGTCATGAGTTTGACAGGGTGCTTCAACTAAACTCTAATCCTAAACACCATAATTTTGAAAATACGTCTAATCATAAGATTCTAGATACTAACAGTTTGAACAGACATGAAGGTGTGATGTTAGCTGACGCATAGGAAATCCTGATTAATAAATAAGAATGGATATGTATCACTAACTAATAATACTTGATCAAAGTTCCTGACTGTCTATATCTACTTATGGAGACGTTAAGACATTGTTTTACAACTTTTTTTTTTTTTTTTTTTTTTTTTTGTTTAAAGTTTTTAACAAAGGTAGATCAATATTTGTAAGTCTGAGGTCAAATTTTGATCACAACTCATACAATTTTGTTTATTGTACATGTTGATGCCTGTTTTATGACTCATGATTGGACAAAGTGTTTTTAAAAATAAGAGATGTTCCTTTTATATATAAACCTCTGTTATGTTAATTTCGATTAATTTCCCTGAAGAAGTTCGGACCAGATTGCCGAACGAAACGTTGGAATTACTCATTTCAATATCGCTGAGATTATACAAATATAATTTTTTACAAATGTCTACTTCTCACTCGGCGCCCAAATTTTTTAGAACTATTCTGTCAAATCTTGACTACAGTTCATTTGATTTATTTTGCAATCGAATTAAATTAACAAAGAAACTATGTAATTGGCACAATCATCGTGTTTCCACTCTCCGTTGTCTGCAACAGAATGCATACCCTAAATCCGTAGCTGTCCAGTCAACTGACAACTCCAGTAGGTCGAATAAATCAGCTCAATTTTCAGAAAGAAGACAAAGTCATGAGTTTGACAGGGTGCTTCAACTAAACTCTAATCCTAAACACCATAATTTTGAAAATACGTCTAATCATAAGATTCTAGATACTAACAGTTTGAACAGACATGAAGGTGTGATGTTAGCTGACGCATAGGAAATCCTGATTAATAAATAAGAATGGATATGTATCACTAACTAATAATACTTGATCAAAGTTCCTGACTGTCTATATCTACTTATGGAGACGTTAAGACATTGTTTTACAACTTTTTTTTTTTTTTTTTTTTTTTTTTGTTTAAAGTTTTTAACAAAGGTAGATCAATATTTGTAAGTCTGAGGTCAAATTTTGATCACAACTCATACAATTTTGTTTATTGTACATGTTGATGCCTGTTTTATGACTCATGATTGGACAAAGTGTTTTTAAAAATAAGAGATGTTCCTTTTATATATAAACCTCTGTTATGTTAATTTCGATTAATTTCCCTGAAGAAGTTCGGACCAGATTGCCGAACGAAACGTTGGAATTACTCATTTCAATATCGCTGAGATTATACAAATATAATTTTTTACAACTAACAGAGGTAATAGCACCTCCGTCCTGGTTGGCATCAAAATAAAATTCACCAGGGAAGGTTTAGTGTGATGACAACAAATTGTTGCTTTGATCGCATAAAGGTGAGTTAAACTTCATAATTGCTAACTGGGCTTTCACAAACTTTGGGATACGCCTCAAACATATTTTCTTAGGATAGATTTAAAGAAAAGTGTAAACCTCAATTTTATGTCTTGTCGCCATGATATGTTTCGCAGTAGAGGAGCTGTATCGTCTGTTCTCACCATTAGTGGATTTCGAAGATTCTATTTGCTTCTGAATCCATTTAGAAATATACTCTGCAGCCAGCCCTTATTTGTAGAGATCGATATGTCTTCCGTATATATGTGTGTCCAAATTTACATTGAAATGGGTGGTGGGGTCTGGGATGTGACATCATTTTATGCATGCTCTAAGAGCTTAGATGGATATGTTGGCCTCGCATTCTTAATTATTATGATATTAGCCGCATAAAAAGTTTTTTTAACAGCAGCATTGAATATTTGATCCCCTACATAGGATAGCTTGATGTACACATCATTCTTAGGGGCGAAATGGAGACATAAAGGAGGAAATTTTGATTATGGGAAACGTATATTTATGGAAAAAGGCATGTAAACTTCATAAAACTGTTACATCGGTTATCTTGCTCTCACATGTGACACAAACATCTTTCAGTTTACCACAGAAGTGTCAGTAGAACAGTTACACCACATTCTGTGCATATTTTTATCCAAATGACTTTAAATAACATCCTTCTGAGATTCATTTTTAACCGTTTTGCTATATTTAAATCTTCCCCAAAGTCTTCCATAAAATTCGTAGGTGTCCTTTTGACTGGATCCACAAAATCATTAGAATGGTCCACTCTGTTATGAATATATCCAAAGGATGACAGCGAGTTATAACCTTTCCATTCATAGATCCTTGTTTCACCAGTTGATTGAAAATAGTTACTAAGATAGTAGACTTTGTGCCCGGTTTTCTCTCTACGAATCTTTCTCGCAGGGAAGTGTCATAGAAACTGATCACCTAAACGTTGCTGTCGGAAAACTAATGCTGATAGAATTATTTATAAAGTCTACAGAATCATATAATTCTGAAGTAAAAATAAATAATAATCGACTAAAACATCAAAGCGAAAAAATGTGTTAAATGCCCATACATGTATTACCTCAGATTCATCAACAATCCATTTTATCTCTGTGTTAAATAAGAAAGATAACTTTTAGCTGGTTGTAGCCAACCCTTGGAATCCTTGGACCTTGAGGGAATCATTTCACTTCTAAAGTTCGAATCTGTGTCGCACAGTGCTGCTCAATGAATCCTTCCAGCGAGTTTTGCAGTCAATGTTTTCTGCTGGCTGCCCTCAAAATTCTAGTAACAAGAATTCAGTGTGTAAAGTGATGACAAACCATCTAGCCGGCACCTGGACACATTGCAAACCGGACTGATAGAATTTGGTTTAAACCAAACAAGAGACTTGACACATGAGACTAGTTACTGACTACCTCGTGTTTAATCAAATTAAAGCTAAAATAAAATGTAAACATATGCGAATTCTTAGAATTAGGAGGGTTGAACTATGAATTTTCAATCTTATATATAAACTTAAGAATAATTAACACTTAATGAATCATAAGTTAAAAAATTAATAATTAAGTTTCAGAATGACACACTCATATAATTTAATGCTCATATAAGCACATGTACAAAGTACAAGATTCAGTAGGAACGATTACGTTGAAATAATTATTACATAAACTGAGTACTCAAAATAAATATTAGTTTAAGTTGTCTTGAGCTGAAATCAAAATGGAAAAAAGTAAGTTAAATATCTTCTATACTGTGTTGTTATTACATATATGCTCCATGTACTTATATGACTGTTTAACTGTGTAAAAGTATTAGCTTGGGGTACTACAGAAACTAATATTTATGTCCTTTTGCTTGAATTTAGTGGCACTGTCGTCCATGAGGAGGTCACATTTCTTATTAAGTGAGAATAGAAAATCTGTCTTTAGAACACTTCCATTTTCGAAACTACGAGGCAAATTGACATACAGGCATTTCTTGAAGTGGTCATACAGATTCATGGATCACATAGATATTTTACGTGTTATTCAGAGCTGATCGCATGATAAGGTGAAAGATGTATATGTTTCATACAACCTGTCTTCTTGATAAACTTCTAGAACAAGACGAAATTCATCTGAAATGTGTAACCTATTCTCGCGACACGTTTTGGACACATGTACTTGTGAAATATATTTATATAAAAGGGAAAAGACATCAAGGATCACAATTTTGATCAGTGTAGACCAAATTATTTACACATTGAAAATGTTACCAAGTAAAATAAACCTCGGTTGCAATACTAGATAATCAAGGCAAGCTCAAGAGGGTGAGTAACAATTTCTGCACATATAAAATACGTTTTATGCTTTCTTTTAATAAGGATTCAACGAATTACGGTATATGACGCAAACCTGTGTAACATATGAGTTAAAACACAATACTGAAATCAGCGTTGTGAACTGTCCTTATAATATGCCTTGCAATAGATGATATTTGACATTTATTCAACGTCGAAGCGATGCGTCACACAGATGATTTCATGAGTATATGTGTAAAACCTAGGCACTATGGTAGTAAGTAATTCCATATTAGTTTGTTTATCAAATAAATCACACAGTGAAACAGTATTAATTACCGGATGACACAGTTTCGAACACAATTTAATACTGTTCATAATCATGTCAACTATGATCACACAACTTCGAAACTTGAGTTTTATAGTTTTTTTTGTCTTCTCCTATTTGTCGTAGAGGTAGCAGAATTTTCTAGATGTCCAAATGGGCAGGTGTTCAATCATTCCTATTACATGTATTTGCAGTTGACTCGATAAACAAAGCTTCTGTTATCAATCTCTCCCTCCACCCTGTGACATTAGATTTTAAAACTGTCCTCATATCCCATCATTCTATTGTATGCTTGTGTGTAATTGCATGTAGTGAGTGTAATGGCTGAACTATTCTCCAGAATTTTTATCTTATTCGAGTCAACCAATCTAGATTTTGCTAGGTTTTTATGTTCGGCTAGTCTTAATGCCCCTGTTCTACTACCTTGACCTATGTATTTGACCTGATAAACTAAATTGTTTTGTGTTAAAGGCTCCACTGGCAGGATCCTTCAACCGACAAAGCTTGTTTCTAATTGAGATTGTGCGTTTTAATGCCAGCGACTTTTATTCCTAACTTGTTAAGAATTCTGCGTAAGGTCTCCGAGGTTCCATCCTTGTATGAAATCACTATTGATGATTTTGATTCCTAACCTTATTGTTGGTGTTGTCTTGCACAAATTTGACATGCATGTCATCATTAATATTATTATTGTCACTATCACTACTATCATTATTTATTTTATTTTTACATTTCCCTACATATTTCCGGACTTATTTATCAGGGTAAATATTGAGTTTCAAGGCTTCTTTTATGTGTATCACTTCCTGTCTTAGATTTTTCTTGGTACAACTTAGTTCAGATTGCAGCTTAAAAATGAGAGAAGATGGGAAGTTAAACAGAGGGGTGAACAGGAAGCCCACACCTTCAAACATATATTTAGACTTCCGATCATCCCATCCTATGTTAGTGAAAATGGGTCGGTGAAATGTTTAAGTGACAGAGCGAAAACCTAATTAGGACCAAGGAAAATCTAAGACATCTAGAAAATTCTGCTACCTCTACGACAAATAGGAGAAGACAAAAAAAAACTATAAAACTCAAGTTTCGAAGTTGTGTGATCATAGTTGACATGATTATGAACAGTATTAAATTGTGTTCGAAACTGTGTCATCCGTAATTAATACTGTTTCACTGTGTGATTTATTTGATAAACAAACTAATATGGAATGATTTCATCAAGTACCTTTAAGCCCATGTGGTAAACCGCTTTGGGTCACATATTTAAATTAGTTGAATGCTTAGTCACGAAAGGGTTCAAATCTGTTTGTGTGTTCAAATGTAATTTCTCTTGAACTATTGAATTGTATACGGATTTCCACTTAAGTGCATTTGTAGAAGATTTAGAGTACACGAAATGCAATTTTCGGAACCAAGGTTTATTTAAACGAATGAAGTTATTATCAAGTGAACACGAGTGCCAAATGACTAATCCATCCAAGTTACTCAGCACAAAATCCATATGACCTCAAGTTTTACTACACAGTTAAGGGAAATATCCACTACTTTGCCATTATCAAGGTCACTTCTGAAGGAAAATCCATGTTTTTTAAACTAATTCACACACTACTTATACAATTTTCTTTTCATTTAAGCGTAGTGATTAGTTAGTCATAAGCAGTGTGCAATATGCAGTTAACTGTCTATAGCCCATTAGTGTGATAGGTCTTCATGTTTCTATAAACTGTAATTGTAATAAATATAACTGCTCTCTAACAATTGTTGTTCAGAAATGTTGCTCAGAGCAAACCAGAAGGAGGATATGTAGAAAAGTTGAGCACAAACTAATTCACTCTCATTATATTCATTAGTATTTAGAAACAGATTACAAGTGATTGTGCTATGTAGCTTTGAGTTAATATATATATATATATATATAATGTCTCATTTGACTTTCTGTTTGCATTTATAGCTCACATGAAGACAATTCACACAGTGGAATATCCTGCGGTAATTACGAATCATTTCATTTCACTCCACTTTAGGTATCATATAAGATGTCTATATCACCTCGAAGCTTTTTGATACAAGTATGCAGTTTCCTTTAACTTAATACACGTATCTAGATGGTGGTGTGCACCTGTATAATGATGGCCATAACAATTTCATCACTCAGTTAATATGCGACATGTAATTTAATCTGTATTTTGCCTTAACAGACTCCTCACTAATAGAAAAACTTTGAAAGAGGCGTTTACTAAATATCATCCTTGGATTCCACTTGTATTCCTGTGAGTGAATTCCAAGTAACTGTCACTAAAAATACTTACGTTAGCTGATTGATAAAATAACCTTGACTTTTAAAGGGAATGTAGTTATGTAGTTATGTTTTCAAAACAAGAAGTCTCGTAGTTTCGAGCATAAGCGAAACATTTAACATCTTGGTTTTATTTAGAGAGGAAAAGAATGGCATATCAGCACCCTTCAGTGAGAAACAAATTTATCAATTATAAAATTAGAAACCACAGGAAACTGTGACACAATAGACATATGACGAAAAAGTGCATCTTCTGACAGTCGTTTTACTGATAAACTTCACATATAAACATGTATCATTTTAACAGAAAATGATACATAAGTAGAATAACTATATATTATTCACAGGCAATTTTGGTTTTTGAAATTGTATTTTTGCAGCATACTTGGTTCAGTACTTCTCGTGATTGTGATATTCGTGAAGTACATGTGGTACATTCCTCCTCTGCTGTACACTATGATTGGATCAATTGTAAGCGTTGATGTCACTATAAGTATCTGTTATCACTTAATTTCTTTATTACTCATGTTTTCCTTAATGGAAGAAACTGTTTGTGACTCATTTGAGCTATCAGCGTTATTTGAATGAAAATAACACTGTAAATGTCACTTTATGTCCAACTGAAACTTGTTCACCAACCTGTTCCTTATACATATGTAAGATATGCTGATAACTGTTTTTGTACCATGACCACTTACATGGCTATCTTGAGAAGTGCATTACTTCAGATCTACTTGAATGATCATTAGCCATCCATATAATAATGCATTATACTCAGTGACCAGCTTCCAGCTTCAGAGAAGTATAAAGACTAGAGGGTACAAATCAAAAGTACACCAAACCTCTTGAGCATACATCATTTGTTGAATAACAAAACCAGTCGTCTATTCTACATCAGAATGCCGTTTATTTTCAAGGAAAATTAACATAATAATTTATAATAAAACACATTAAAGATGGTGTTTCACCCTGACGTAGCTGGAAGACGCTTTGCCATTACAATGAAGGGCATCAGTTTTCAAGTATCATAGCCACAAAAACGGTTTTATCTTTATGAACAACGAAACACTCTCCTCCTATTTATTTATTAGCATGAAAAGTACACATGATAAAAATGCACTGCCTTACTCTAATAATTACCTTAACCCTAATCTTAACCACAATAATACTAATCTTACCGTAACACGCTATCCATATATTGTCCAAACAGTAGTTTAAAACGAAATAAGGAGAAATTCTCACATCAATTTCGGGGACATCATTCACTTTGGCGTTGTAATAGCGACAAGTTATTTAATCCAGTGAATCGTATGAGTCCAAAGACATTGATGAATTCGCATTTGATGATGGATATTCCTCATGTTGGTCAACTCAAGTAAATGAATTCGCCGAAAAGAGACTCCTCTCTGAACTACTGACCTTTTCTATTAATTTTCTCAGAAAATCAAACTTTCGTTTCATGTTTGAGTTTGTGAATCCATCTTAACTGACAAATATAGTCAGTGGTCGATACCTGAAACCAACTCATCCATCAATTATCCTCAATTCAGAAATAAAGACGTCTGTACAGCATTTGAATAGCGATGTCTTAAATTTGTCATGAGTAAATTTCAACCATTTTTTTGTTAAGCTTGATTATTACAGCTAATTTCGCTGCTTATAAGACTTGGAAATATTCCTAAATTTAATAAAGTACAGGTTACAGGAAATGTTTGAATTATATACATATATAAATATAATATGCGTCGGTGGCATAGCGGTTAGGACGCTCGCCGACCATGCACATGGTCCGGAGTCCGATCCCAGGCCGACGCACTCCCTTACCTCGCTAAGGCAGAAATAATGCTGGTAAAGCGGAGGGGTTGGACATGAGGCTATCAACCCCATCCTGTAAAATAAACACTGCTTCAGAAACTTCAAGCCACTGGCTTGAAGCCCTATGTTCCACTGGAGAAAGTGAAGGAAAAAAGATATATATATATAATATATTACTGGTATTCAGCAATAAAATTATAGTAAAAAAGTAACTTTCCTACAACATCCACTGATTCTCATTACTTAGTATTCCTGCCGTTTCACTCAAGACTGATAGAATATTTGAGCAGTCATCTCAGTGAACCCATTCTCCTGCATATTTCACACGGGAAGCAAAGTCAAAAATGGTCAAATATACTGCTGTAATTTTAGTTGTTAAATAATATACCTGAGACAGACAAGCAGTTTCAAACTTATACTGCCAGAAGACAGACCACCTCGTCATCATCATCAACTGAAAGACTGTGTAACATTTCCTTCCAAAATCATTATCAGAATAACATGTTGCCATTGTATAGTTTTAAAATTAGTGTGGCTTAGCCAACATAACTCATGCGAGTGAGGATGTCAGTGCACACGTTTGACTGTCTATTTTACATAAATTCAGACTGGTTGGGTAGCAAAATCCGTCAAGTATTTGAACTGTGTTATGAGTGAAGAAACTAAAAGACTAAATACATGTAACGACCTTAATGATTAACAATCATGGATTCTGCATGTTTCAGAGGCAGTGCCAAGAATCTCTCACCTGTTCACTTATTCACTGTGAATAACTCATTTCAGTATTAAAACGGAGGTATAATCCTTAGAAAAGCCAAGGAATATCAATTACCTATTCGATTTAAATGGAACATATGAAATTTTCAAAGAAGGGGCAAATCCCATACCCAGTAGACAGTGGCCATTTGATGAAACATTGCTGCTGCAATATTTTTTAACTCAAATGTAAGCCAAAGGAGACAGGCAGCTTATCCTGCAAAAGACACTCTTATTGAGCTTTTCTAACTCTTCAAGACCAGTAAATGCATGATGAAAATATGAGTAAACTAACCAATGCTTTACATTCACATGGTGCATACCGCTTTTAATGTATAAAATCGAAGTATTTCTCTTCCCCTTCAGGTTGTATTCTATTCCCTTGGCATTGCTGGTGTATGTGGTGTGCTAAACATAGGGTTCAACATCCTTGCTTTAGTGCTGGCAACAGCTTTTGCTGTGGCGGCTATAGTTTGCGGCTACATGTTACCGAAATTTAATGGAAAACTCGAGATATCTTTAATGGTGATAGCTGGTGTATTTCTGTTGTGTGCTGTCGTCTTTATTTTCCTACGGTCCTACAGTGTAAGTGATTATATTTTTTTAATGAAGTAACTTAAATATTGTGTTATGATGATTTTCTAGGTTTGCCCTGAATGGCGACAATGAATTTTTTCATTCCGTCTTATTATACAAAAGTTAGATATCGGCACCGATGTTTATTTTATACAATTATTCGATAAAAACATGATAAAGTGATTCATACAGACGTATGTGAGAGTCATCTTTGGTAAACCTCAATAAAATTTTCCTTCCGTGGTTTTCAAAATTCATCTTAAACTGTCCTTTGTTGGGAAAAATACTTTTTGTGGTGTCTTAATGACGAGAACAGTTGTAATACGATCTTGACTGGGCCAAATTTTCATTGCGTCAAGGCTTTCTTAAGTGGCACCGGCTATATTCCCCAGAGATACTATATTTGAGATAACCTTAGAACAAACATCTTGTGTGAAGCTCGGATATCTGCTATCGATTAAGTCTCCGAATATTGTAGGCTGTCGCTCAGCAATATTCATGCTGCCAATGTGAACATGACTAAGTCAAGCGAAATCTACCTTACTGAGGATGTGGAATTTGTACGTGGTCGTTCTCACCGCTGGATATCACCAGTCTTTATTATTGATTAGGGTTTGACCCTAAGTGATATTCATTGGACTTTAAGAAAGCTTCAGTAAAGGTATGATCAACAATGTAGTAATTGGCACGACGTTGTCATTTTGGAAGTAGCAACCAATTTCAAAAGATATTCTTCCACAAGCTACAAAAAGTTCACCCTCAATTCCTTTGACAATGAGTTCCAGTCTGTTGACAATGTTTCTATAAATTCTCGTCAGTACAGAGAGTATTTGAAGAAATCAAAAAACCGCTCTGAATAATATGAAATGCAACAGTTATTATCAATAGTGTTAGACTGGAAAGCATACATCTGATCGATTTGAGAAAATTCTTCAGGCCATCGTCACACCAGAACCTTGCTAAGAAAAGCATGAATGTTCATTCTTCAAATTTATAACTTTTTCTACCTGAGAGAGGTGTTATATATATTCAATTAACAATGTAGCTAGTTAATTTGCGGAACATTGCTTAAGCATATACATATAGACAACTGAACTCATTTAGCAATAGGTAGCGTATTACTATTATATCCTTTAATTTCTAGAGTAACAAAGGCTTCAGCTGCGCATCTCCATTGCCTTAGGTTTTCTGACAACTTTTTCACCCGCTCCAAGTCTGCCCACATGCTTTCATCTCCTCCTCGCATGACCTCCTCCAAGTCAGCCTTACACTGACGACCGACTCGCCGCTTCCCTTTCGAGTTCCACCCGAGCAATGGCTTGTCTAGTGATGTCACTTGATGGTTTCCTCAGCGTATGGCCAATCCATCTCCATTTCTTCCTGCCTATTTGTTACACAATCGGTTCCTGGTTAGTTCGCTCATTGCCAGAGATCCCTGTTGCTGATCTTTACTGGCCGGCCATCTGATTTTGGGTACTGAGCGAAGACAACTGTTGTTGAATGTCTGAAGTTTGTTTGAAATGCTCTTTATGGCGCGCCAAGTCTCTGATCCGTATCGTGAGTAACACTTACTTCACATTGGAATTGAAAATCCGGATCTTATTTTTGGTGCTGAGTAGGGCTGTTGACCTCCACACAAACTTGAGAGTAATGAAAGCTTGTCTTGCTTTTCCGATTCTGGCTTTGATATCCTCGTCAGTTCCGCCTGTAGTTTAAACGATGCTTCTCAGTTCGGTAGGTGAAGGAGGTTGTTTCTTTCAGTTCCTCCCATTTATGATGGTTGATTGTTGTCTGTTGTTGTTGCTGTTGTTGTTGGCTAGAATCTTCATCACCTCTGTTTTTGTATGTTCACCTGAAGTGAAGTTCTATCTTCCATGCTTCTTCTGCCAACTTGTTGCTTTTCACTTGCATATCTTCCACTTTGTGGGAAATCAGGCATATATCATCGGCGAAGTCCGGATCCTCTAAGTTTTCTGTGTGAGTCCATTTTATGCCTGTTTCCTGATTGCCTGTTTTCTTTCGCATTATCCAATCTACTGCGTAGCGTGAATGTATATTATATTTCTTAATAATTTTCTGAAGATATCTCTAATTATATTTTGGCATGCTAGTTAGGACTACAATGAAAGTCAGTCCATATTAAATAGGTTTGTTTTAAGGATCTCATTGTGATGGAGCATTTAAAAATGGATGATATTTTGAGCATAAATTATTGTTCAAAATCATATCTTATCATATCGAAAATTCTCTTCAAGAAAACGTGATGACAATCAAAGTCAAGAATACTATCTAATGCATATTAAGTCAGACACCTAAAAATCAAAATTGTTTCACAAGATGTACAATGTATGATAGTCAGAATTACTTTGTACCTTTCGGAACTGTTACTCAGGCAAACGAGGATACACACTCAAATACAAGTAAAAAACAAAATACTTTTATTTTTTCAGTCAATAAACCTTTAGTTTGTATCTTTCAGATGATATTTGCCTTATTGTCTGGACTATTCTTCAGCATTGCAATGTTCATTGTAAGTGTTCTACATTTAAATCCTGATGATATTTTACTACCACTTAATAGTGACTATTCACTGTTATTATTAAATGTAGCTATCACGGAAGTAGATGACATCACTTGCGGAGAGACTGTGAATGCTCTTTATGGGCTGATAAACGTCAAGAAAATCCATTGAACATTCTGCTGGACTCTCAATAATTAACTGAAAAAGTTAAAATCTGGCGTTTTATACAGACTAGACTTCGTTACCAAAGAAAGGCTTTTAGAAAACGGTTGGAAAACGGTTCGCGACAGTCAGGAAGCACATTCTAATTCTGCACGATTCAGTACCATTCTCAGTGCAATTCTGTCCTGAAAATTTCGATGGGATGAAATCCTACATTTATTTATTTATTGGACGATAACATACAGTACGACAGTAATATTCATTGGATAATTAATCAAAAACTATTAATTTTTTTGAATCACGAAGGAGAAGATTCTTAAGGATAAATGTGTTCGAAACGTAAACTAGTGAATGACGCTATAAAAGATGGAATAACGTACTACCCTGGTGTTCATACATAGTATACACAAATGATGAGATAATGAGATTTTAACTCTGGTATTATGCAACGTGCGTCGGTGGCAAAGTGGTTAGGACTCTCGCCGACCATGCACATGGTCCGAGGTTCGAACCCCCGCCGACGCACACCTGATATCTATGGTCGGCCTCCAAAATTTGGGCTACCGATATTCATGCTGAAAATTCCATACCTGTACCAAAAATACAGTGTGGAATCAAGCTGTAAATCAAAAAAAAAATAGAAAAGTAGTTGAACATAGAATGTACAGAGCAATTACTTCCCTTACCAATTTCGACATCGACATAAGAAGACGTAGTTTATACGAAGCGTGTAATGTATTTGAACAACACATTTTAGACACTCTGATCACACTTATTTTTATTTATTTTTTTTATTTTTGATTTACAGCTTGATTCTATATGTAATTTTGGCACAAGTATGGAATTTTTAGCATGGATATCGGTAGCCTAAATTTTGCAGGCCGACCATAGATATCAGGTGTGCGTCGGCGAGGGCTCGAACCCCGGACCATGTGTATGGTCGGCGAGAATCCTAACCACTGTGACACCGACACACGTCCTTATCACGCACAATTATATAGAAGGCAATAAAGCATGAATTATTACAATACAGGTGAGAATAACTACAGCTGAAGTTCACAAATGACGGGTAGGGAGATGACTGAACGATGTGTGTAAGAAAGAAATAAAAAAAGTTAAAAAAGCGTTGAAAATCATATGAAGCGGATTAAACTTAGGTTCTAAATTCTTTTACTAAGGCAGTTTAAAGTATTACCAAATAACATTTGGATACAATTGACAATTTTAAGACTTTTTTGGCCAAGACTTCAGTAAACTTAGGTACGTGATCCAAGTTTTTTACATATGGGTTTAGAGGCATTGTTGAAATCAACCTCACCAAATGTCTCTGTAATGTGCATCGCTAAAGCTGCAGTTGGACATCTGTTTATGGGATCAGTTGTATCTAGCGATTTTATTTATTGTTGCAGCTACTTTGGGATATTTTCTGTAAACCTAACCTACAGAAACCAACGGATCCTCCCTATGTACGTGTGTCCACACATACATGTAATTTGATAAACACAGTGGGATATGACACTGTTTGGATTCTCTGACGGTCCAAAAGACAGTGCAGATCTCGTTTTCTTATGACGATGAGTTTAGATCCATAGTAAATTCAACTGATTTCCGCCTTGAGTCTTTGTTTAGTGACCAGACTGTGGTGAGAGGTGATTGGATTGGTAGAGCTCTTTTGCTGACAATCCCGTATCGCTGAATGAATCTCAAAGGGTAATTCTTATCTAACAATATTTTAATGAGGTAATGGTTTTCTTTTTCAAATATGTCAGCTAAACATTTACGGTGAATGCGTTTGAGCAAACAGTTAACCAGTGGTTATTTTACTACAGTGAGCAGAAACTATGATAATTTAGATACTGTCTCGTCGATGTGAACTTACTGTAGACAGATCGTTTTACTGACCCATCTTGTCGGCGGGTTATGAACACGTTTTTTAACACATGTTAGCGATATACTGTTTTGTACTCTACCGATCTGTTTAGGATATCAACGACATCTTTCCATTTGTCACAGATGACTTTATCTCATCCATGTATCCCTTATAAAAATAAACTTTCCCAGTTCCGTCCTCAGCTAGGTTCTCAACATGCCATATATATATATATATATATCAGCTAATAATGGACCAAGGGGGTTTCTCATAGCAACACCGTCGATCTGGCGAAAATGCTCATCCTCAATGTAAACATAACATTGTTAGTACATAGAAGCAGTAACTCTTTGAAATAAGGTATACACCCTGGTTATAGGAAATAGCTGTCACAGATGTAATCACATGAATGTCAACCGTCTGTAAAAGAGGGACATTTTTGTGTGACGAGTACGTGTGTAATCAGAATGTCCAAAATGTGTTGCATAAATAAATTACGCTTTTCAGATAAACTATATATTCTTATTGTGTTGCCGAAGAACATAAAATATGTTGATCAAATTATGATACATATAGCACAATATCACTGTTTCAGCGTTAACAGAAATTTATTCGAAATTTAAGTATTCTAACAGATACGTGCAGTGGTGGGATAGTGAACGCCTTACACTGGTAAAATCGACTGTATTCCTGATTACAGCTGCTCATAACATATTCGATAATGAAATTAAGCGTTTGAAAAAATGTTAGTTCAAGTTTCGTCACAAACTGAAGTTGGTTATAAAGTAATTGAAACCCACAAAGCACTGAACACCAATTTTCTCCTAGTTTGGATCTTTTCATCAGCGAGAGCTAACAACAACAGTACCATGGTTTAAACCCAAGACCTTCAAGTCACAACATCATCTCGTTGACTATTCAGACACTTGCTTAGAATTCACTAACCTGTGAATTCTAAATTTTGTTAATCCACGATGTAGCTCTACTACCAAACAATAGCAAATATGATTATTCACGTAACATTTCCACGGTTGGCCGTGCTGCCCCCTCCTTCTCACTAAACTTAGGACATCCATGCAGTAGTGATCAATGAGCTGGAGGATAATATTTACATCGTAGGTTCTGTAGAGATATCGATTAATTTCGAAATAACTTTCGTTAGGAAACAATATCAGTCAAAGAATCATAGCTTCAGTATCATTCCTTCTTTTTATCAAAAGTCTTAGACTGGCTGTTTTGTGCTCACTAGTTTTCCATGATTCTCTAATTGATGTAGTTCGTGACCAAGTTACATCTTTCTTAGGGTTACTCAGAGTAGATATACAGTCTTATGAACAACGCTATCTTCACCAATAGCCTTTCTCGCTGTGTTACTTAATCTATTTCTACTTTCAATTAGTTTGATGATTTCATTTTTTCATACAGATATTAGTGCTCATGGGCAATGATCTGGGTTCTTCCCCTAAATCGAGATCAGGTTTCAATTCACCATTATTTCAAGGCTTTTGCGTTTGGTTTGGAATAATATTTCTTTATATTGCAATGTCCCTTGTGCTTCAGTGGACAGATTCGACAGTGAAGTGTGAAGAAACATCCATGTCTGGTGCATTTTTAAAGTTTACCCATAAGGAGATAAAAATGGAGCACACATAGCACAGAATTCATGTATTGTCGAAAATAAAAGCCTTGCAATTTCCAACGTCTGAGTTGTATTTTATTCTAATTTGCCTCAAAACAAAGTCTGCAATAATACCATGAATGTTTTCCTAGACTATTTGTGACGGTGTAAAATGCTTCAATGATACCCAAGTTTAGAATTTTACTCGACCACATTGATGATCGTGGTATACTAGTGACTATCTTGCACCTCATTCTCCATTATAGTTTACGACGTCATCATGTGTACATTCTATCATAATTTTTTAACATAATTTAGGGTATTTACAATGTTCATCGCCTAATTGAATCTCAAATGTTAACATTGTGGAGGATGTCTAGCATTCATTTGGAACTCGATTAACACCAGCGAGAATGAAAGCCATCATGAATACACAAAAGTACGTTAGTGACGTATATTTTTAGTCATCCTAGTTTGCTTAGGTGCAGGAGGATAAAGTAAGAGGTACAGTCACAACAAGTATTTATTGGCTACCTTATGCATCTAACAGCTGTGTGAGTAAATGCCTACTCCACAGCGTAGAACAGTTTACCTAACAGTTTAATTAAGGCAAATGCATTCATCACACAGTTTTCTAGTCTATCTTCCTTCAGTTTACCAAATAAGCAATCAATAGTGAATTCCTGTTCTTATTGTGGTCAACTGAACAACTAACTGACTGCAAAGAGTGTACACAATTAACAGACGAAGATTTGTGAACAATGTTCACCAATGTGTATATTTAATAGGTCGAGAGTGAATGGAAACCACGTGATGTGTATTTGAAAAACCAATCAGAAATGCTTTACAAATAAATAAAGGGAAATTAGCTCTCGATAAAAGATGCCAACACGTTCCGGGTGCAATGTAAGTCTTCATTGGCGTTCTATCCCAGTCATGGTATATCTTGATAAGAGCAATCTTAGATAATTTGTTTCTAGGATAGGCTATTGAGACGCACTTAACTGTATTTATTCGTTTGGCACCATGACATTTTTCTTACGAACCATATTCATACTGGTCTAGTAAAGTCATATGGAGTCAGGGGCCTTACTAGTAAGCCTGGAGATTTATATAGTGTAATCAAACAGATCAGGAAAATATTAACTTTGAATAACTACTCACTAGATTTTATTCAAAAATATATCAAGATCCATAAGAAACATAAGAGTAGTGACGAGAATGGTGAAAAGAACACTGGTATAATGGGACTCGAAACACTTGTAGTCCAGTAGCATGAAGAAGGGAGATCAGAAGCGTAGAATTCCTAATATACTAGGAGTGTGGTAGCATTTAAACCAGCATACTTACTCGAAGACAACTTTGACGGCTTAAGGACCAGATAGATGGAGTTGGGAAAAATAATATAAATTTCCTAATACCAGGTCGATTTCCTAGTATAACAACAAAAGACAAAGGCCAGGCAACAGATCGCATATCAAGGAAATCGGCACAAATTTATATATATTTCATGTACATTATTATAGCTTATTTAAACAGACAAACACAGTCTTCTGATTGGTTGTTTCTGGTTTCTCGGAAAGTTAAGCCATATATCGGCGAATCTTATTTGCCCACATTAAGTCCGCTGTGACTGGTTGTTGAATCAGTCTTGTTCATATTTTCTCCCGGCCAATATTAGCGACAAAGACATTGACGTACATTAATATCTTCCAATTGGCTAGCAGCCTGCTTTCACCACACTTATTTATTTTTTTTTTATTTTTTATTTTTATTTTATTTTTATTTTTGATTACAGCTTGATTCCACGCCGTATTTTTGGTACAAGTGTGGAATTTTCAGCGTGGATATCGGTAGCCCAAAATTCGCAGGCCGACCATAGATATCAGGTGTGCGTCGGCGTGGGCTCGAACCCCGGACCATGTGCATGGTCGGCGAGAGTCCTAACCACTTTGCCACCGACGCACACACTAGGACATACTAGCAGAATTTGGTCATTTTTATCATTATATTATTATTCCATTGAGTTCCTAGTGGAACATAGGACTTCAACTGCACGTCTCCACTTGCTTCTGTCTTCTGCTGTGCTTTTCACCTGCATCCATGTTAGTCCATACTGTTTCAACTCCTCTTCACACGATCTCCTCCATGTCACACTTGCATTGACGTCTCACTCGCTTTTCGGGTTCCACTCGAGCCATGGCCTGACGCGTGATATCACCAAGCGGCCTCCTCAGTGAGTGTCCAATCCATCTCCACTTTCTCCTGCATATCTGCTGCTGTTGGGCGATTGGTTCTTATTTTGTTTGTTCTCATAGTTTCTTGTTGGTGATTCTTTCCGGCCCGCCATCTGATCTTCAGTATAGAGCGAAGACAGTTGTTGATGAAGGTCTGCAACGGGATGTTGGAAATATTCTTTGTGACCCGCCCGACAAGTTTCTGATCCGTATAGAAGAACTGACTGACTTGACGTTGTTTGTATTGAAAATCCGACCGATGTTTGTTGTTGATGCTGAGTGGCTAAGATTTCCAGATTGGTTTCAGGTTGATGAATGTGTTTCTCGCCTTCCCGATTCTCGTTCGATTTGACATCCTCGTCCGTTCCGACTTCCTGTAGTTGAGACAATGCTCCCTAGATAGGTGAATGAATGAAATAACCTATTTCAAATCCCTCCCGTTGATGGTGATTGGCACAGGATGTTGCTGCTGATGTAGTTGTTGGCTGGTTATTTTCATAACCTCCGTCTTGTCTATGTTCACCTGGAGTCCTGTCTTCGCCGGCTGCTTCTTCGACCAGTTTGTCTGTTTTTGCTTGTAAATCTTCGATTTTGTGTGATATCAAGCATAAGTCATCCACGCGCGAAATCCAGGTCTTATAGGTTCTTCACGTCGGTTCAGGATATTTTGTCTTCTCGTTTCCCACTGTTTGACGCATAATCCAGTCCACCATAATTCCGAATATCATTGGTGATAATAAGCACCCTTGTCTGACTCCTGTGTTTATTCCAAACGCATCGCTGAGTTTTACGTTGTGGATCACTTGACATGTTCCGTTGTCGTACAACCGTTGAATAAGGTTGATAAATATTTGAGGAACGCCGTCGTACTCGAGTAGTTTTCAAGTTACTCCGCGGTCAGCGATGTCGAAGGCCTTCTCGAAGTCTTTAAAGTTGAGGCAGAGGTTTTATTACCATTCCATGCTTTGTTCTGTGATGATGACGCGTAGAGTTGTAATTTGGTCAGAAAATGATTTGCCTTTGCTGAATCCAGCTTGTCCTGGTCGGAGTTCTGTCCCCAATTCGTTTTTTATTCTCTCCAGGATGATGCGACTCAGGATTTTACTTGGCGTCGACAGGGGCATGATTCCTCACCAGTTCTTGCAGAGTGAGTCGTAAGTCGCCCTTCTTTGGTAGTTTCACGAGGTAGCCTTTCCTCCAGTCAGTAGGCACCTTTCCCTCCTTATAGACCTTTGGGAATAATGGAGTCAGCATATCTTCTGTCGTCTCTGGATCCGCGTTTAGTGCTTCAGGGGGTATTGAAAGCGGACTCAGAAACTCATTTTGAATAATGGAACATTAAAACGACTGATTCTTCTAAGCTAAGCTACCTAGAAAAACTCTGCTGTTGTAGTGCATTCACCTGCATGCAGTTAATTAGTAAGGTGAGATAGGGTAAGATGATTCGAAAGTAATATAGTTAGGTGGAGATAGGGAGTAACCACTGAATGTTTGTTCATTGGATCAACACCATACACGTGCAATCAGAATGATGCAATATCGGATTTAAAAAAGTTGAAATAAACAACAAGATGAATGAAAAAGATACATATAAAGCGAATTATGAAGCTATTTGAATTAACCTATATGATTATAATCAGTGAGTTGTGCTCAAAATGTCACTTAGCGACTACTAATACTGTATCACCGTGTTTTCTATCAAATAAACTTAACTAATTTGGAGTATGCTTAACTTGAAAGAAACAAGATGAGAAACAGATGTCATTTATTTGGTTAGAGTTCTCCGAAGTGGATACATCATTGTGGATGCTGATAACACTTAGTCAAGAGTATCACGACTGATCGCTAGTGAGACCAGTTGAGCGATGAAGCAGTAAATAATAGGGAGACGCCTGAAGCAGTTCTCCACCAAGTTTATTTACACGACGCACCACACTGATGACAGACCATATACCAGCACTTCATGAACTATAGCGTAATCATGTTACGATGAAAAACACAGAGCTTGCTCATTTATTGTGAAAATAACTCAAGGAAACAGAGGTATGTAAATGATGCAGAGAGTGGCACGAATTTGTCTAGGTTGTTCTCTGAGGAACAGCCGTAAAAGTCAAACTTACTGGAGGTAACATAGTGGGTATAATCATATGTTCCTGACTCTTGATACTCAAAAGGTCGACACAAATCATTGAACACACCATAAAAATAAGAAGGTAAAAAGCGCGAAACTGCAAGAAATACATATTTCAAAAATGTTTTTGATATTTTCTGCTGTGCGTTTACTTTACCATCTAATGAGTGAGATGTGTTGGTAAGCCCTGCTTTCAAAGACAGTGGTAATTTCCAAAGTTGCAGGGCTATTAGCTTCTGAATAACTCAGTCATTTTTAACAATATCGACTGGCTTTTGCTTATCATCATCGAATGTGAAAATCCTCTGTCTGTTCACATGTTTTCAGCTCAATTAGGATAATAGCATTTAATGTCGTCTATCCTGAGAATGCTTTGAGAATTCAAGTACTGGTTTGTAGGGATTTGGTTGATTGGTTACAGGATTTCATCATGAGCTGGCATTGGTTAGAGAACCATTGGAAAACCTGGGAGTACTGGACAGCTGTTTCGTCCTAGTTTGGGACTATTCAGTAGTACGCACCCGACACCGGGGTTAGAACCCAGGTCCTTCTCGTTACAAGGCGAACTTGTATACCATTAAGCCACTGGGACCTGATCCAATGGCCCATGAATTCCAACCTCTGCCAATTCACGATATAGTGCAACCACTAGCCAATGTCTTCGGCG